CTTAGTGTAGATGTTCTGCTTGATGTCTAGCCCGAATGAGAGCACAGTTGAAAAACAGGCACGTTCCTGCTTGCTGTTTTTCTTCTCTCGAGTTAAATGGTTTTAATTGCATTGCAGGTAACTGATGTAGGTGACTGAAGAAGAGTTAAATTACTTGTGCCGGAGCTCCCACCCGTGCCAGTGCACTGAGATTTCTCTGCCTGTTACTCCCTGAGGCTGCAGCAGGGGCTCCGGCAGCTGCAGGCGGCAGCAGAGGCGCAGTGCGGCTCTACTCAGTGTAGCAGAGTGGCCACAACTGCTGAGTAACTCCTGGGCATGTCTGGCAGCGGGCTTGCAGGAGGTGCAGATGATTTGTGACCGCAGCTGAGCCAGGTGCTTCTGTGTAAAGCCTGTCGCCTGGCACATGGGTGGTACTGATAGCCTTGAAATTTGCTTAAGAAAGTTTTTCTGAATTAGTGCTGCTTCCTGGGCATTTCAAGGCTGCTAATATGTCCAGTCAAAGGAAGAATTAATATTTGAAATACCAGCTTAAATTTTACTACTGCACATAACTCATAAATCACAAATACTTCGCAGTCATGCTCTTTGCAGATACTCGATTTGCAAGTCTCAGTGTAGAGGCAAAGGGGAAGGGAAAGGGCATTTTGGCTGGATCCAGTGCTAGGGCTGATGCCACCCAGGCAACCTCACGGCGAGTGCCGGATTAGGTAGCGACAGGCAAAACTGTCAGTGGGTGAAAATCAATTCTCTGTGAGCGAGGTTGGTAGGAGACATGGGAAAGCTCAGGCTGGAGTTGCACCTGGAGCCAAATGTTGGAGGTCCGAGTCCCATCACATCTCCTGGCAGTCCCTGCCACCCCTGCGATGCAGCTCTGGGCTGTGCAGTGCCTGGTGCCCACCATGCCATGCTGCTCGGCCCTGCCGGGAGCACGGCAGCCGGGCTGGGGGTGCAACTCAGCCACCCCTCCTCTGCAGGAGCCCTGCAGGGGACATGGGCCCTACCCCGAAGAAAAGTATCATGTAGCACCCAGGCTATGGATTGTTGAAGAGTGCTGCACCAATAAGTATATAACATGAAAATGTTTTATTTACATTGTATTGGTCGTTCTAAAGAATTCATCCCTTTTAATGGACATAAGTGAACCCCATTTTCTTTTAGATTTCAGCACTTCTGTTAGAAAGAGATTTTTTTTAAAGAAGCCTTTCTGTTTCCGAATGAATCCCTCCATAAAGAGCAGCTGCAGAAGGAATTGGTTTGACCTCTGCTTCCTTAATTGCTTTTTGCTCTGTGTTGGCCTGGAAATGGATGTTGCTATTGTGTGAATTACTGCAATGTCAGAAAAAGAGCTCATGAGATCAGGTGTGTAGTTTCCGTCAGGAAAATAGGTTTCTTAAATGGAAAGCAGTGTCTACCTGTCCATAGCCAGAGTCTGGGTCAGTCTGAAAACCCCAGATGATAATTACCTCATGTTCTGCTTCTGAGCAGCTCTACAGAGTTACTGTTTTTTGCGGCCAAGAGCAGATTTAATCTGAAATCTACTCTGAGCTCCTTTCAGATTCTGGAAGGGGATGCTCAGACATCAGGTAACACAGCTTGGTCCACTTGTACCATACCCTGGCCTCAGAGCATGGTGCAGCACCCAGCTGCTGTCCTGTGGGCTGGACCACAGGAGCTTCTCCACCTCTGCCTGTTGTGGACAAAGCTGAAAGGAAAGAGCAGGAGCTTTTTTACTGCTGAGGCTGAAGGCACAAGCTTGTGTGGAGTTGGCTCCAGTGTAGGTGGGACTATAGCCATGGTGCGTGGGTTGCTGCGTGCATGTGTGTGTGAAGAGCGGAGGGGCTCCATCAGAGCCTGCCCACCCCCAGGCTGGTGGCCCCTCCACAGCTCTGCAGGGCTTTCCTGCTCAGGGGGCTCCCGGGTCTCCCCGTGGGTGCTGGCTGCATTGGCAGGTCCCTTCCAGGTCAGCTCTGGAATGGCGTGCAGCTTGCCTCACATCTTCAAAAATTGTCATTTTGGGATGTCCTGGTCGGTGCGTGCGTGGTACAATGGGGTCTGTAGCTGGAATGGGATGTTAGCCGCCACTTCTGGGCTTTGGAGCAGACCCAAGTGTCAGACATGAGTGTAAATAGTGTGATAAGAGCAACGGCTAGTGCATGCTTGTTGGCTTTCAAGGAAACAGTTCCTCATCTGTTTGAGAAGTGGTTGCCGCAGCAGAGGAAGGAACCGGGCAGAGCTGCTCCCCGTCCCTGCACCAGGACGGGAGCCCACAGTGCAGAACAGCTCAGCCCGGTGCAGCGAGCACCAGCGACACAGCCAGCCTCTGCTTTCAGCTTCTCACCTGGGCTTACGGGTTCCTACAGTTTTCCTTTCCAAGCTGTTCTTGGAAGAACCAGTGACAGCAACAGGAAAAATTGTGCTCCTGAATGTGAGCAAAGAGAAAAGCTTATTTTCACAACACTAACTAGAGCACCTTCTCCAGGGTAAGGTCCGCACAACAGCTCTGTGCAGCTCAACCATCAGCAAAGTTGCTCAGCAAATACTGGCCATTTCAGGAGTGGAATAAAGCAGTTGGCCTCCGAGAAAGCATGTCCTTGAGTTTTGAAGGCTCGTGAACTGATGAGTGAAGCTGAATTTTTGGCACACAAAGACCTCTCATCCTTTGAGAAAGCTGCTCCAGTGAAGCTGCGAGTTTGTAAACCTGGGGTCAGATCTAGTGGCACCTCTTACAGTCTGTGTGTGAATAAGCGTTTGGCCTTGGAAGATGTCTTCCCTGTTCTTCAGCAATAAGTCTACCTCTGTGCTATCTAAACTAGTTACTGACAGAAGCAACAATGCTTGTATGATTAGCCCATTAATGCCCCAAAGGAATCAACATGCTAATTACCTGACACGATGAGATTAGCAAGATGCTTTATAAGAACTGAAAATACTCGGATCAACAGTAAAATAACAGGGCCCTTTAGTCAGCACACCTACTCATTTTACAATCCTGACGTGGATTATTTTTGAAGAATTAGTATGCCTGGGGTGCTTCCCCACTGTTAATTTATCCTGTGACTAATTGATGGCCTTTAGCACTTCTTGGTTTAAATTACTTCTTATTGTTTCCCAGGATTAGGCTTCATCTTTCGTTCTTGAAAAAAAGAATGGAAAAAAAATAAAGGAAAAAAAATCCTATATAAAAAATTAGGGAGGCATTTGGTTTGGGGGTACTTTTATGTGATTTTATCTCAACGTTTGTGTTCACTAGGATAATAAATCATAGCGTAGCCATGCTAGCTACACTTGTGATCCATTGCCTTGTAGGAGCTCTCGTTAATAACTCTGGCAGGCTGTGTACTAGTTGGAGATGGATGGCTTAAAATTCTTCACTGCATCCTCAAAAGGTGGCCTTTCCAACCAACAGCAGCCTGGCCTCTTGGCAGGGGCACCTCCTCAGCAGCACGTCGCAGAGAGCCGATGGCATCACCCCTAGGTAACTGATGGCGACACGCAGCAGGGATGCGATCTTCCTAAAGGGCAGATGTTCCCCCAATTCATTTTTAACTGTGGTTTGAAGGGAGACTTACAGTGCTCTGAGTTGCTGTGTAATTTTTTTTTTTAGTGGACTTATTTGGAGAAATGATTGGGACATTTGAAGATTTGCTGTTACCAAAAATATCCCCAGGTAATTTGATGCGGAGAAGCCTCTCTGCCCATAAACTGTGTGTCAGAGCTGTCAGAAGGTGTAAAGCAAGATGTAACCTTGTGCAGCTTTATTTTGGGGCTGCGCTGGCGGGCGGCACCTGAGTCACCCAGAGCAAGACTGCATACGAGGAACCAGCTGTCACAGAGTACGGTGATGGCAGAGATACCGAGCAGCACACTAAAATAGTACTAATTAATCACGGGATGTACTATAGTGGGAAATACACAGTCTGACGAAGATGTGTCGCTGGCAGCGAGGTGGAGCGCCTGGTGCTCTCTGTCCTGCCTGCCTGGAAGGGTGCGTGCTGCATCAGGGGTGCTGCTGCCCGGGGTCCCCGTGTGGCTTTGCTGCCAGCCCTGGTTTCCAGCAGCCCTGCAGAGCTGGTGCTGCTGGCAGGGCCACGCTGGGCTCCAGGCCAGGCTGCGCTGCTCCTTTGAACTTGCTCTTGCCGCACACGCCTGGGTGGATTTGGGGGCCCCTGAAGACATTTGTTCTTAAAAATCTCTCTTTCCTGAGGAGATTTTTTAATCCTGAATATTCTAGCCAGTTGCTGTGGATATGCTGGCTTCAGCTTGCACAGACTTTTTGTTCAACTTTTATAATGGGCCGAGGCCGGACTTTAATTTGCAGAACACGAAGTGCTTTTGCTCCTGTCCAGTGGGAGCGTGCAGCCTTTCCTGGGATCAGGCCCATCATTAGAGTTTCCTGCTGTCTGTGATCTTTTGTTCCAGGAGACTGGGCTAATCCAAAGGACGGGGCGTTGGGTTGATGTCCTCCTTCGGTTGCTTTCCTGGACTTTTAACAAGTAACTGCAGCAATAATTATGGAAAATTGTTTCTGAATAAACATCCCGCTGAGCCTGTACGTGTGTGATTCCTGTCTCTGAGTCAGGTAGGCTGGCGATGAGCACTGGAACAGTTTGTGACACTTGCTTTTGGAGGAGGACAGTTTGAGGTGCTGCTTCTTCATTTACCCAGGCGTGAGCTGCTTGGCTGCTTTCAGCATTTCACTATGCCCAGGCAGAGCTTTTGGCATTTCTTTGCATGAAGTCATTCTGCTTCAGGGCCAGGTTGGATGGGGCTTTGAGGAACCTGGTCTAGTGGAAGGTGTCCATGCCCATGGCAGGTGGTTTGGAACTAGATGTTCTTAAGGTCTCTTCCAACCCAAACCATTCTGTGATTCTACTTCACCTACTCTGTCTGGTGTGCTGCGTGAGGGGACGTTGGCAGGACATTTGGCTTTCCAGGGCCAGAGGTCCGGGTGGCCGAGCGATGCTTTTGCCTTGACAGGTGTCTCTGTCTGCTCTCCCCAGCGTACGGGCACAATGTGAAGAGCAGCAACGACTTCATCGGGAGGATTGTGATCGGGCAGTACTCGACAGGTGCTCCCGAGTCCAACCACTGGCGCCGCATGCTCAATGCACACCGGACGGCCGTGGAGCAGTGGCACAGCCTGCGGTCCCGCGAGGAGTGCGACCGTGTCTCTCCAGCATCCCTGGAGGTAACATGAGGTGGGCGACTAACAGCAGCCAGACCAAGTGGGCGGACGAGGAAAAAAAATAAACCACCAACCGAAACACCCCACCTCACACCTTACACGCACCCCACAGCAGCTCCGTTGGATTGAAGCGGCTGCCGGCACCCGCACCTGGCACTGCTCGGCTGTTTGCATCCTGCGCAGCGGAGTGCAAGGCTGGGCGGCGTGGGCTGTGCGTGGAGGTGCCGCAGGAAGCCCTGAGCGGGTGGAAGAGTTGGGAGTTGCCTCCATTGTCCTTCCAGTCCAAATCCATGGCTCATCCTCTCGGAGATATAAGTACCTGTGTGCTCTCATTGGTGAAAGTGGTAATTAGGCTAGAATATTTTTTTAAACGGTAGAACCTGTGGTGAAATCGATTCTGACTCCAGTTTTGTCCTCGTACTAGTTTTAACAGAATTAAGCTCCTGTTAGTATGTATGCGTGCATTTGTGTGCCGGGGCACACGTGTGGCCATGCAGCCCCGCGTCAAACGGATCCGATGTCACATCAGTGGTTGAGACCTGCCACTCTCGATAGCAGTCTGTATGTGTCAAGTAGATACAGTGATGATATAGCAAAGTAAACATTTCCAATTGCATTTGTACTGGGAAAGCCAGCTCATGTCTTTTCAAACCTGTGTTGAGCAAAAGAAACCTGCTGCGGGGACTTTTGCAATTAAGACCACCCAAAATACACAATTTTAATTCTCTCACAGACTGCAGTGGCTCTTTCTGTGTTATGTGTGTTAACCCAGGTAGTTCTCCAGGTAACCAAGTGAACTTAAGCTACGGTCAAGCTGTCGTGTTGGTTGCTTCTGTATGTTTTATTTTTTCACAGCATATTGTCTGGTATGATGGAGATTGTATATTTATTGAAAATAAAACTCTATTTAATTGTGCTACGTAGACTAGGCTGATACTTGTTAGCAGAATTCAGCTTTGTGTTGAGCTCTATCTTTTATGTTTATGGCATAAGAAAAGCCAAAATGTTGGAGTTTACCCCTTGTTACTCACTGCAGACGAACCAAGAGTAATTTAAAAGGAACTGAGGACCTGCTGGTGCAGGTCGATCATGAGCGAGTGAGTACATTGGTCTGGCTGTGCGTGATTCCCAACCAGAGTGCACCCAGCGCACTGGGGGTTCGACGTGTCAAAGTCTCTGCACCGGGCTCTGGGTCTCAGTTCTTTGCAGGAGCAGGCCCCTCGTTATTATTTATTTTTATTGCTTGATTTATCAATGTTGTGACTGCATAAAAATCCATGTCTTGCTTACAGCCCATTCAGGAAATCAAACCAGAAGCACATTGCCCTGAAGAGAGCTGGGCCTGGCCCATGGCTTTATTGTCCTTCCACGTCTTTGTTTTGGAGAAGGAAGGTTCTGTTCTGTCTTTGGCAGTGTGTGTCCGCGTCGGGCTGGAAAGCCACGGGGTGTTGTGGAAGGGCCGGCTCTGCCACCACATCCATCGGTGCTGCTGTGATCAAAGAGGGGAGGCAGGGAAGAGCCACAGGCTCTGGCTGTGTCCCGCTTCCTAGGTCACCTGCGAAATTGCTGGGCAGTGGCCTGGGCCCATGGCCTGCTCCCCCTCCATGCACCCCATGGTGCAGAGCCTGCCAACGGCCACGCCGGTCCCCAGCGTCCCCATCGCCTGCTCGGGAGAGAAGCAAACCACCGCGCTCTCCGTCTGCCCTGGCTGCTCCTCGCTGGAAGCAGGAGAACTGCCTTGTGAAGATCAAGGTGTTTGGGGCAGGGACTTGGAGCTGGGTGCTGTGGGAATCTTTGCCTTTGCTTGTGGCCACTCTGAAGCTGGAGGCGAGAGCGGAGCCTGTCCGGAGCTGCCACGCGGCGGGGCAGGCAGTCGTCATCTCCCTCCCCACTGTTCATCACATGCAGCCTGGAATGAACTCCCATTATTGCCCGTGCTTTTAACATGTTGATTTTAAAACAGAAAACAATATATGCCTAGTTCGCCTCTGTTTGTTGTTTGGCTGCTACAGTTAGGGACAGGTGAGTCTTAAAAAGCGAAAAAAAAAAGCTTAGTGCATGTTTGGGCAGATGTCGGTGTGTCAGTCAATAGCCCGTGCTGCAGTCCAGGGTGTTTGTGCGCCAGCGGGAAGGTCTGTGTTGGAACCGATTCTGGTGCCAGCATCCTGGCAGCACGCCTGCCGTCCGGGACCTGCTCTGGTTTACATTGAGTCGTGGGTGTTTCGTTCCATTCTGTGCTCACAGCATCCCTGTGCGTGTTCTCCATGTGACAGTGAAGTCTGATACAGTGACCCTGCCATCATGGAGGAGGGAATGCAACAAATACAAGGAGGCTGCAAGAGATGTTGTCTCTCCTTTGCATCCAGAAGCCATGTCTCAGTGGCTGGGGGAGAGGGACAGTGCAGACAACCCCTCTCCTGGGCAGAGCACAGCATGGCCTTGGATAGAGGATGGGAAAAAAAGGCCTTGGTGACCTCGTTGCTGAACCATCACCCCGTTGCTGTGGCTGGAGGTGAACACAGGTAGGAGCTTACCCTTGGCGTGGTCATGTGCGCTGTCCCCTGGTGAACGTCTTCGCTTCTTACTGACTGCTGCACGCAGCTCCCTGCTGCTCTCCAGAACAGCTGCTGTACGTTGGCAGCACAGAGCGATGGGGACAGTGTTCGTCGCAGGGCTGTCTGTGGGCATCCTCTTTCCAAGCACGTTGTGGATGGTGGGTTTCAATTCTAACCTGCTTCTCTGTCCGTAGCGAGGTCGATAGCAAACAGGACTCAGAAAGGCTCAGACAAGGCAGTGGTTTCAGTAGTCACTGCCGTCAGCAGTATTCTTCCACGTGGGGTCTGTGGGCAGCAGTGTGAGCTCTGGGCACCTGCAGAAGCTGACCTGAGACCTGCCACGTGCTTTGCTCAGGCACTGGAGATGAAATGTTAACAGAAGGCACTTCTGCCCGTGAGTCTGTCCTTGGAGCCAGGAGGTCTCTGTTTCACAGTGAGGGGGGTGGTATGTACGTACGCTGCCAAAAATTGGTGAGGAAACCCTGAGGAAAGGTCGATAAAAGCAGGACTGAAGCACACTGAGGAGCTCCTGACCTGGAGAACAATCAGAAAACAGCATGGGGAGGGAGAGGAGCAGAGAGGCTGAATAAATGAGAGGTGGCTGTGCCCCGGGGCTGCATCCAGCAGGTAAAACACATCCAACGCTCTGAAATCTGAGGGTGACCCACAGTGCAGCTGCAGCCCCAGCCAGCCCTGCGTGCACGACGTGGCAGTCCGCCGCCGGCGCTGGGAGTGGGTGCTGCTGCGGCCGGTCTGTCGCTAGGATCGGCGTTAAAGTTATTTGGGTCTCTGCTCTCTCTTTAAGCATAAACATTTGTGCTTTAGGGAGTAGATTAATATGCTCAAAGAGTTCTGTTCCATAGTTTGCTGATAATGGTTTGTAACGCTGCCTTTATCTGGGGATGGTGCGCAGTGAAGAAGAGAGAAGGCATGCCTTGGCTGCTAATACTTTTGAATTCCTTCATTTTTAGTGGTCTGATATATCAATAGACTTTTCCTTGAGCCATATAGTTTCAGATCAATGTATGGAACTGCAAATGAAAGGGAGAGGGGAGTTTTCTTAAAAGGTTTTATTTAATACAAAGAAAATTTGATATATGAAAGTTAATTGAATGAGTTACTGTCTCTGGAGTAAGTCTGGACACTTGGCTATACTGAAAGCTTTCTCTCACACCAAATTTTTTCTGCCTGGGTCTTGCCTGTAAAAACGGGTCATCCTAACTGAAGTTGCAGAAAACACTGAAAATTTTAAGCTGTAGCTAAAAATAAAAAGGGAATAGCAGTTTGTTCAATGCCAGTTTAAGGCATGAACTGGATATGGAGCAGGACCACAAAAATTTTATAACATTTGTGCCCATACTGTTTCCCTTACCAGTGCAACAGCTAGGAAAGGACTTTATACAATATGAAGTTTATTTCCAAAAAAAATTTTGACTACAGAAAGGAGATGCACTAGATAATATTGACTGTTAATAATACTGACTGCTGCCTGATGCTGAGGGTTTGCCGCTGCTACGGGACGGCGTGGACCTGGCACAGGCCCAGCAGATGGGCATAGCGTGAGTTCCTGAAGTGGCCTTGGACCCCGGCACAGCTGGTGCTTTCCCTTTCCAGGCTGCTTTAGTGTGTCGAAGCACTGCTTTTCCCTGGTTTAAAACCAAAGCAACCACAAAATGGGGAAGCAATGGGTTAAACCCCCCAGCGAGAGGCTGCACAGAGCCTGGTACAAGGCAGTGCCCCCGGCAGCCCTGGAGACCCTCTCCCCCCTGCATCCCCCCGCCGCAGCCTGGCTCACCCCAGGTGCCCGGCTGTCTCCGCACAGCCCTCGCCTTACCCTGCGAACCCAGCCCGTGCGAAGGGCTGCCGGCCTGGCACGGCAGGCGCAGGGGCACGTTGTTCAGGCACCCCAGGATAAATGTCTGCCCCCTGCTCCCCTCCGTGCCCGCCAGCATCCCTATGGGGCAAGGCAGCCAGCGCAGGGCAGCTGGGCAGTGCTAAACTGGCTAAACTGGGGACACAAAGCAGCGTCTTGGGAAGCAGCTGGTGGGTTTGGGGTTTGCTTGCTCGCCTGCAGCCTCTGGCACACGACAGAGCTCTCCAGGAGGAGATGGGCACCCCCAGAGCCAGGCTGTGGGCAAAGCTCTGGGCAAAGGTCCCTGGGGTGGGATGCAACGAGCGCGCCTGGCCTCAGCCGGCGGGGGGGGAGGCGTGTGTGGCTGGGGGAGCCGCGGCGTGGGGGGGGGGG